TATATGAAAAGTGTGCTGAAGGCACTTGATCATCCTAAAAGTATTAATTAGCAAAAAGCACTAAGTTTGCTTGAAAAAGAAAGACGTGGCACCCAAGGAAGAAACTAGGATTACTTTGGTTTTGACTTTCTTTAATGTATTCGGTATGTAAATATTTTTTCTACATCACCCAATCTGATTAACATATAATAAAAATATAATTATTAACAGCATATTTACTTTATTTGGAATGACTTTTTTACAGTTTAGCAATGAACATTACAAACATAGTAATGAATGTAAGTAAATGCAAAAATGCATCTTCTGCAATCTGAACTCTGTTTTAAGAAAGTTAATATGCTTCTAAAAAGCATAAGAATTATGAACTCTAAAATGTAAATCCCCTTATCTCCTCATTTCGTTCACCACACCCACTTTATTTTCATATTGGTTTATAAAATGCTTGTCACTAAGATGAGTCTGTGTCGATTTATTTGAGGACACATATATAGAAACCCTCTGGAAAAAAAATACTGATACTTGACACAATCATAAAAAGAAATATTTTTTTTTCTTTCTGAAATCTTCAACTGTGAAATAGTAATACCTTTAAAAGTTTCTGCAAACATTTAATATTTTAATGATAGCATATATGAAATGAAGGCTCCTTACTATTTTGTCCCTTTGTCATATAGAAAATGTCCAAATAAATAATAATTTTTTCTGGTTGGTCATCAGGATTATTGTTAGTCTTGGTAACTAATACTTTTCCCACTTCACTGAAATATTCATCTAGTCAAAAAACTGTCTTTAATAGTATTCATCTAAGGTATGTTATAATTTCATTAAAGATAGTTAATGAGAAAGGTTAAGAGCTTAAGGCTAAATCAAAGAGGCACATGGGTACTACTTAAAAAATATTTTTGTGGAAAAGGAAAAAAAAAAACTCCCTTAATTCATCTCTGGTTACTGAAAGGTTGGCACAAATAACTTCTGTATTGAAGGTTTAAATAGCTATCACAGCATTTCATATATTTAAACTTGAATTGAAAAGATTTTCTTGTCTCCAAAAGAAAAATAGTCACATATTACTTACATAGTAATTACAGGCTATGCAGCTGCCCTACAAAGCTTTACTATAAATGTGTTAAGCATGAACCACTACACAAACCTTATTCAAATTGCTTTAAATGTTATGCCAAAGAAATGTCAGCCTCCACACCACTCCACTACAATTGCTTCCACAGGAACAATGGCCATCTCCCTAGTCTGAAACCTAAATAATGTAATAGAATCAATGTTGCTCATTTAGGCTATGGTTGGTTAAAAGTCATTACTGTTATTCCTCACCAGTAAAGAGGTCTCTTTCCCTTCCTTATGCATCAGTGAAGCTTATGCTAATGCATCCAAATGTAAGAAAGAATACGCTTCTTTGACATAACATTTAAAGATTGAGAATTCAAGGAAAAGTACATGCCATCTAGCATGATAAAAATACTAACCTTAATTTCTATATCTCACTGATCCTTGCGTTAAGCCCTTCTAAAGTACAATTTAAAGCTTACATAGCATTACCATTTGCTTAATACTTCAAAAATATTTATCTGGTCACACAAAACTCTGTAATACTCTCATACCAGTAACACAAGATTCAAGAAGTTGAACCTATGAAAGCGTTTTAAAGGGAGTAGTACAGGTAAGATTTCTAAAAGTTTCAACCTTATCTTTAGAGGGCTATATATCACACATTCTAGAAATAGTTTTAATACTGTTGTTGATTTGTATGCATTATTTGAACTTTGTAGCAAATGAACTTGGCAAGGTTTTGAAAATATAATGGCAACTAAAGTTGTCAGATTTATGACCAAACACCTAGAGCAGTGATTTTCAACCTTTTCCATCTCATGGCATGCAAACTAATTACTAAAATTCTGTGGCACACCAAAATAGATATTATATTTTTGCCTCTTTGGCAAAAAATAGGTATAATTTTGAATTTTTCATATAGCCAGCTATTGTTGTGTTGGCTGTTGTCATTTTTTGTTTGACAATCTCAGGGAAAAGAGGTCAGTGGCCCTGACTAAACAGTCAGGTATTGCATGTTTTAAAAATCCTTGGGGCATATGGGTTGAAAATTGCTGACCTATATTGATCTGGGAACAAATCAAACCGGGCTTAAATTTTAATGCAAAGACATATACCCATTAAAATGCAAAGACATATGCCCATTAAAATGCTATACACTATTACAACTTTCTAATTTTAAAACTTTTGTTAAGTGGATAATGTTTAAGAATTAAAAATGGCAGGATCACCATGTTGATATTATGTCACCCTTTATGTCACATAAACCTGGTATCAAGTGATGACATTCTCTGTGACTTTCTTCCTAAAATTCCACAAACCCAGTTTAATCATGAAAAAACACTAGGCAAATCCAAGTTTCTGGAATGTTCTACAGGATACCTGACCAGTACACCTTAAGTCAGTAAAGGTCATAAAAACAAGGAAATACTGAGAACCTGTCACAGACCAGAGGAAACTGGGAAAACATGCCAATTAAATGCTATAGCCTATGACATCCAACTAAACAAAAACCCTAGACTGAATCCTGGAACAGAAGGAAGACGTCAATGAAAACCTGGTGAAATCAAAAAAATGTAAAAAAATACGTAATATATATTAGCATTTGTTAATTAGGAGTCGGAAGAGTTTCGTAGTAATTAAAAATGTTAACAATAGGGGAAACTAGGTATAGGGTATATGGGAATTCTCTGTATTATTTTTGTAACTTTTCTACAAATCCAAAATTATTCCAAAGTGAAAGTGTTTTTATTGTTATTTGTTAAGTCATTTTGAACAAGGCTATTTACTTCCAGTAAATAAAAATTGACTTTTGTTTAGAATAGGTTAAATTTTGTTATATAATTAATCTCTTATCCTAAATCTTATATCACATCAACATTTTAAAATTATACATTAAGTGCTCTCAAATTTGAGGAAAAGTACTGATTACACATGGCAGACAAACACAAACAACTAAACTCCACAAATGCTTAATCCTTTTTAACCTGCTCTTCCATTGATAAGGCTTGAGGAACCTCACATTCACAGACTTCACCTGATAACAATCCTTTAAAACAAGATATCTGACAGCAAAGTGACAAAAGAAACATAGAAGAAACTTTTCCTACAATTTTGCTGGAAAATTAACTGAATTAAATTTTTCACTTGTTTTATTCCCATAGTTTCCAAAGAACCTCTCATTATTTAAAATGTTTGGTCGATTTGAAGCTAGTGCTGTTGATGATACACTTTAGAAAGTATAACATCATAGACCTTGGGATATATAACATTGAGATACTGAAATCAGTATACAAATTCAGGAAAGTATTGATAGCAATGCCAGTGAAAATACATAAAAGGCAAATGACTTCCATGAAATCATGTTTAATTTAGTTGAATGAAAACGAATTTCTTGTTTTATGAAAAAAAAGTAGAAAAAAAAGCAGGGAGTGAAATTTTATGATTATAGAAGATGTGATGGCTATAGTTTCAGAAAGTAGGACTAAGAGGAAAGCAAAACAAATATTAAAGCTAGACTTGCTCATTATATAGAAAAAAACACTTGAATGATTTATCTATGTATATAAAAGCCTAAGCAACTGGCCGACCAGCCAACTATTTGACTGTCTGACTGGTAGCTATGAGGTGCACTGACCACCAGGAGGCAGATGCTCAACACAGCAGCTGCCAAGCTGCGGTGACCTGGCAGCTGTGGTTCTCAGGTGACGCACCCAGAACCTGAGAGGAGAGGGCCCGTTTCCAGGATGCATCATGTGAGAACCGCCCTCTCACAATCCAGGACCCCTCAGGGAATGTTGGAGAGCCAGTTTCGGCATGATCCCTGCAGGCCAGGCTGAGGGACCCACCAGTGCATGAATCCATGCACCAGGCCTATAGTTTGATCATAAAAGGCAAAGTCTTGGAAATACTTAGACAAAAATATTTAATAAAACACTAGAGGCCGGATGCATGAAATTTGTGCACTCAAGGGAGTCCCTCAGCCCGGCCTGCACCCTCTAGCAGTTCGGGAGCCCTTGGGGGATGTCTGACTGACAGCTTAGGCCAGCTGCCCTAAGCCAGCAGTAGGACATCCTTAGCGCTGCAGTGGAGGCGGGAGAGGCTTCTGCCATAGCCACTGTGCTTGCCAGCCATGAGCCTGTTTTCTGGCTGAGTGGCACTCCCCCTGTGGGAGCACACTGACCACCACGGGGCAGCTTCTGAATTGAGCATCTGCCCCCTGGTGGTCAGTGCACGTCACAGCGAACGGTTGTTCTGCCGTTTGGTCGATTTGCATATGAGCCTTTTATTATATAGGATGACAAGCATTTTTAACTTAACCTAGAGTGCTGAAAGATTGTGTTTTGGGGATTAGTAATAAGAATAAGATAGAAGATATGGAGAAGAAATTCTCCATGAAGATATGGCAAGTGAGAAAGTGACGCAGAGTCCCTAAGTGAGAAATTCCTTATGTGGACAGTGATGTCAACTACTTGCTGCCTCTTCAGAACTGTGTCAAACAAGGTATCTCCTTTACTCCAGACCTTACAGTCAGCTATAATCAGTAGCCTTTTGTTAGCGATGCTCTGGGCAACAAAGGAAGGCACACAGTGTCCAGTGTGGGCTGCAGCATCAGGGCAACAGAGCAGTAGCTGCAGGACGCAACTGGAATAGTAGTCAAGAATTGGGCAGTGATAGAATGGCAGAACTAACAGGGATCATGAAGAAGAAAACATCTCAGGAATCCTTGATATTCAGGGGTAATAGATGAAGTGGGGGATCAGCCTGGAAGACTTCAGTGTATAAAAGAGCAGCTATGTGACTTGCATGTGTGAAAATCAGGTATGTGAAAATAATACATCAAAATATAAGAGTGTTTGGTGATACAATCGGGGTGTTTTTTCTTTCTGATTACTCACTGATTATCTAACAATTTTCCATGTATGTGATGTTTTTACCTTCCTCTTGACAAGTCTGCATCATCCTTCTTCCACCGCACAGTTGGTTGAGGATCTCCCTGGACCTGACAACGAAATTCGACTGATTCTTCCTCCAGCACCACTTGGTTAATTGGTCTCCTGAGAAATGTGGGTCGTTCTTAGGAGAAAAAAAAAGTAAAATAAAATAAATATACTGTATGCTTTAAGTATATTCTGGAAAAAGTGTAGAAAAATTATGGTTTATTTTTGGTACATAGGTACTTAACTGTATTTCAGCTATATCTTGATACTTACAAATACAATGTAATTGAATAAAATAAAATATTTTGAAATGCAGAAAGAGCTATGCTTTGTATATAAAAGCATAGAGCCTTTTGGAAAAGATATTACATTGATTCTTCAGTGAATTCCTGAGCTACATCATGTAAATCTTGTCATAAAAAATTTGGACATGGAATTCCACATAAATGAGGAAAGAAATAAAAATGATTAGTTCAATTTATTAGGATGGCTCAGATTGGAAGACTGAAAGTTGAAACTAATGCAAAAAAAAGAAAACATATATTAATATCCCATCAGGAATGCTAGAGAAAACAAAAGAAGTTGTGCTTTTGAAAGTAAGTGTTGTCTAAATTTCCCAACTTAGGCTACCATTTATCATTGACCACATACTTCCATGAATGTTTTCAATTCATGTATGGATAGCTGAATGCCTTATTTCTGTTTTTCTTTAAATAAAAATGCTGTGAATCTGTTTTTTTTAAATAAAAATTACTCATTTTAATTATTTTACACTATTTACTGCCCTATGTATTTTTAAGGCCACTTCTTATTACTTTCTCTTAAGTGTTCCCAAAGTTTTCCCATTTTCTCTTTACTTAACTCTTATGTTTATTTCTCTAGCATTCTTTCCTTTATCCCTTGTGTTTTTAATCTGTACTTAGCTCTGTTAATCTGCATTCTAAAACTCTTCTACATAAATCTAGGAAAAAATAATAGCTGTCCATAGAATCTTACCATGAAAGAGAAATATAAAACAAAAAGTAGTTTTACACTTTTCTACACACTTCAATTCCTTGTCTAATTTCTTTTTTTTTATAATGGTCAAATTATGATAATTTAAATTACCATTTAAATTTTATTAGCACATGCCTACAAAAAATAGAAAAGTCCAAAATAGTGCTACTTATTGAAGTAGAAAGTGAAGTCAAAGAAAAGAAAGATGAAACCCATAGGAAGTTGACACAATTTATCTGGTCATATGGCCACATTTAATCAATTAGGACTTTAGTTTCAAATGCAATTTAAGAATGTGACTATATTGCCAAAAAAAATAAACATATTTAGCAAGAAAACTTTAAAGAAAATAAATCACTTCAAATTACATATTAAGAGAATAGAGTGATAGTACATGATTTTATTGACTAAAGAGCCATATTCATAAAACAAATGTATAATTACAAGATAATATTTTTAAAACATTTTAAAATTGATTTCTAGAGAGAAGAATAGAGGAAGAAACATCAATGTGAGAAGGGAACATCTATCTACTACCAGGGATCAAGCACACAACCCAGGCAGGTGCCCTGACTGGAATCCCACAGTCCATCCCTCGGTGCATGGGACGACACTCAACAAACTGAGCCACACTGGCCAGGGAAAGATCATATTTTATTGCAATAAACTCAACCATCATTGGTATTCAGAAGAAAGGCAACTAAATCGCTCCACCATGAAGGTGACAGTTGGGACAAAACTGTTTTTTTAAACACAAACCTACATATGCTCAATTATTTGTTCTTCAATACCCCAAACCCCAAATCATAAAACAAGGTGAATAGGATTTTATCACAAAGAGGTTTTTTTTTAATGCATAATTTAGAAATAATCCATAAAAATGGGAAACAAAGATTGCTTCTAATGATTTTAGGTAGTAGAATCAATTAGCAGCTAAGTGTGTCCCCTTCACAACAGAACAAATCTGCATGCTGGATGGAAGGATTTAGTGTTATACTTTTGAACTCTGGACACTATGTGCTCCTAACAATCATGCTGGCATAGTTGATATTGAGCTATTGTTTCTGGAAGTAAATAGGCATAAGATCAGTATCTCCCTAGGAGTGCTTGGAATGTTAATAATAGAAATAAATCATTAGCATAAAATGTGGAATTGACTTTTTCTTCCCCATCACTTGGTATGTCCATCCAATTCATCTAAAAGCTGCAATAATCCAAGTTAAAAGAGAGCTAAGCCACTGTTGTTTTTAATGGGGATATTTTATTACAATCTGGTATATGGCTGAGCGAGTTAGGAGGTCTTTCACTCATCTACTCATTTATTCAGATCATATTAATACAGCTTCTCCTATGTCAGGCTTCGAGTTTGGTAGCTGGTGAATGGCCAGCATTTTGGTGTAAAAAAGAAAAAAAAAACTGGTAGGGGATAAAGTTAGCCAAGACCATGAAGAACCTTGTATGCCATGTCAAGAAAAATGAGTTTTCCCTAGAGGGTTAGGGGCGATCAGGCAGGCAGGCAGAGGGGTTAGGGGTGATCAGGAAGGCAGGCAAGTTGTTAGGGGCAATGAGGCAGGCAGGCAGGTGAGCAGTTAGGAGCCAGCGGTCCTGGATTGCGAGAGGCTACAGGCTGGGCTGAGGGACACCCCCATCCCGTGCACGAATTTCATGTACCGGGCCCCTAGCTTTTAATAAGCCTATGAAAATAGGTCATGTTGACAGATCTGAGAACGATGAATTAGAAGTGAAACATGAAGCAGTGAATTAGGCCAAACTATCATTTTAAGACTTGTTTCAGTTTAAATTGACAGTGCTTCTAAGGATGTGGAAAAGGGGACAGAATAAAGAAATATCAGAACTGAGTAATCAATCAGAAGTAGATGGTGAAGAAGCAAGGTTTAGAAAGATTCTCAAATTTCTATTTAGCAATTGGTACAAACTTTCAGGTAAAGTATGGATATGGTATGTGTATATGTGCATGTGCGTGTATGTGCGTGCAGATCCTTTCATTGCAGAAATGGTAGATAAGACAAAAATAAGCCATTGTTAACAACAACAAAAAATAAGCCATTGTTACTCAGGTTTCTGTACTTGAAATCAAATGCAGTCTCAATTAATAAGACAAAGGAGACTTATATAATACAAGGGGAAAGAAAAATATCGTTTTTGTAGGTATAGTAAAACTCTTGGATTAAAAAATCTAAATAAAGATAAAATCTAAAGAAACTTCTTAAGCATGATGAAGATATTTTATCAGAAATTAAATGCAAAAATTATTTTTAAAGCAACATATTAAAGTTATGCCAATGAAAATCTGGAACAAGATAGACATTACTAATTAATAAGAAAAAGAAGGAAAGTAGGCATATTGGAGAAGAATCAAAATAATCTCTTGCCGACACTACAAATACAGAACAATAACTTGATAATTGATAAATGCAACAAAAAATAAGAACTACATATGATCATTATAACAATCTTGGAAAATGGAAAATTTTAGGATAAATTGTGGCAAATTCATACATTAAAAAACTAGTAAGTCATTGTAATGTTAAAGCTATCTATCTCTTTATCATGTCATCATGGAAAATTTTCATGGCATGATGCATGAAATAAATAAGTTGCATAATGCTACGTGGGACTGATTCCATTAAAACACACATGCCTACTTTCATTCAAAGATTTTGTGTGTTTCCTTTAACATGCAATCAGTCACAAAATGGCAACAGTTGAGTATAATCAGAAGGGCAAATTTCACATTAGACTTGTCACAAACCTAAACTTGTCTCTTCATCCAGGGGACACCATCAGGATCCTTGAGGGCATGTTAGTTATCATACATGTTCTAAGTCACATTGTTTTATATGGAGACACATGGAAGCACCTAATTTTTAATTTCAAGAAGAAGCAAGATATAGGATTCCCTGCTGCTGTTCTGATGAACTCATCAGGGATGGAGGACATTGCAAGGAACCTGCTCCATTCTCTTCTGCCCTCAAGCAGAGTCTAGTTGCCTAGCAACTGGAAAACCACAGGAGAGTTTAGGTATAGAATTTTTGGAAGCCTAACATTGGGTCATGGTAAAAATGTAATTCAATTAATTAAAAGAATACAATGCAAAGAATAACCTAGATGAAAGTGACTTGCATATGCATGGTACATTCAGATGGGTTTTATACCTGAATATATTAGGTTGTGCCTTCCAAAAAAGTAACATTGAAATTTACTAACACATTGGATTTTGGTCACAAATTTTGAAGTGTTAGTCTGAGAATTTCCATAGCACCCATTACAGCAATTATCTCTAAATCATACTACTCATTATTCTAATTGTTTTCTGATAATTATACTAAGTTTACCTACTTTGCAATTTTAACTGCCTACATAACTATATGTTAAAAACTCTTTGTTATTTATTTCAATGAAAATGGTTTTTCTGTAAAAATTATTTTCCAGTTTCTTTGACTAGATTTTATTTCCAGAAAATGTGAGAATCAGGAACATAAATATTAAATATTTAAAAAGCTGTACAGGCAGAAATGTATTTTAAGTGCTTTGTCTTTGTAGTGGCTACTATTACCATAAACAAAACACAAGCCACGCCCCTTTCAGACTTTATAAAAATTACAAGGAAATGTCTTGGGGTTTACTGCTTTGTATAAAAATCATCTGCAAACAAATGTAAATTTAGAAGGATTAAAAATTTAAGTTCCTATGAGAATCATACAGTAAATTGATAAATGATCACATTTAATACCCATTAATGCCCAATGGAGTTTGTATCCCAGGAAGCTCTACACAATTAAAATACATATATATGAAACATCTTGAACTATACAATGAACAGACCACTTTAAGGCATGTCAAAATAAGGTCACTGATTTTTCCATATTATCACCTTATGTCTGATCACATTGAAAAACAGGGCTAGAAATCTCAAAGGCTGTTTGCTGACTGCTTATCAATTAGATTAAAGTCCCTCTGAATGGCCAGGTCTCTAATTATATAGCCATGGAGTGATCAGAGGCAATGTCTGCCAATGCAATTAACATTTTTATGTGAGATTAACTGGCTTTGAATCACCTGCATAACTTGCTTACAAGGTTAATCTCCCTAGAGACATTAGTGTTGTTTGCAGTGCGG